AGTTAACAGTACTGTATTGCATATATGAAAGTTGGGAAGAGAGTATCTTAAAAGTTCTCATCACAAGAAAAAAAATTGTAACTCTATATGGTAACCAGACTTACTATGGTGACCACTTCACAATATATACAAATTTCAAATAATTACGGTGCATGTCTGAAACTAATGTTATCTGTCAATTATACCTCAATAAAAAAGAAAACAACTCTATTTATAATAGCATGAAAAAGAATAAAATACTTAAGAATAAACTTAACAAGATAAATATAAAACCTACAGTCTGAAAACTACAAAACATTGTTGAAAGAAAGTTTAAGAGATTTAAATAAATGGGAAAACATCCCACGGTCATGGTTCACTGTGGTGTCTTCATCACAGGGGCACTTGAGACAGAAGCTTCCTCGTCTTCTGAGAGAGCTGCCAGAAACCAACTCCTCACACTGCAGGTGAAAACCAGATACCCTGCTTCCACTCCTGCTCACTTGCGGAGGAGCCAGCCTGACGTTAAAACTGACACAGAGACAGAAACTGGATCTGACTTTGATGAGAATGTTGAGATGTTAAATCAAACTAATCCTGAGGACTCACCCACCTCTGGACTCGCCATTATCAGGCGACCTCGGTTCCCTTCATTATTAAAACCAGTTTGAGTTCATTTTCTTTATTCATAATCAAACACACTTTAGCTTGGCCAGATGACATACTTTGAAAATGCTAATAAATACTGAATCATGAATACAATCTTTGAGGCAGGTGTTGAAATGGCAATGCTTGAGGAAAGGTAGACAATATTTCCCCACAGGGTATTGAATTATGCTCAAAACTTATCCTAGCTCAAAGATCTTACCTGAGCTCCATAATTCCACTCACAGGAGGTACTCATATGTGTTATATGACCAATATTGTGCTCAGATTCTAACCCCGAATCAACTCTCCTGCAACGTCTCTATGTGAATAGCATCATCTATTCTCACACTCACCCTTTACTAAAACTTCAGAATCCTTTCTCTCTCCCTGTTTCTCCACATTTATATTCTCAGGAGCCAGAATACTATTCAGCCCTGGCTGGTGTGGCTCAGCTGGTCGGAGTGTCGTCTCATACATAAACCAAAAAGTCACAGGTTCAATTCCCTGTCAGGGCACATGCCTAGGTTGTAGATTTGGTCCCTGGTTAGGGCACGTACAAGAGGCAACCCATCAATGTTTCTCTCCCTCCTCCTTTCTCTAAAATCAATAAGCATGTCCTCAGGTGAGAAAAAAAACTACTTTTCATAAAATACTCTTAATTTTACCTATTTCTTGTTCTTAAGACTTCCTTCTTTTAGGCTAGACCAGTTTCCACTTTCCACCTAGTCTTCTTGACTCCAGTTTCTCCTCATTAAATCCATTCCAAATGCTGCTCAGATTAAGCTTTTCACATTAATATTCCCACCATGTCGCTGCCATACTCAAAGAGTTCCCCTCACTGAATGCCAAGTAGTGCTCCACAACCTACCACAGGCCCAGGTGAAGTGCCTACTGAAGATTAAACCGGACAGTGGTATTAACAGTGCTGGGTTGTTTCACTTGCTCTAGTGAGGTACAGAACAGTCACCACGGGCATCTTAAGGAGGTTAAATCATCTTTTGATGGACAGGCTGGGATCAGTACCCCCAAAACTTGGGAAAGAAAGGCAGCTTTGTGGTTATACACAGTGTCTCCTGCTTCTTCATTAGCACAAAACATTCAGTTACTTTCCTCACTTTTCCCATGCTCGTGTTCTTGCCTCATCAAAAACAGGTCAGTCCTCTTTCCCTTAACCACCTCTATGAAGAAACCATACCTGTGTCTCTTAGTTCTTACAAGAACTTCCCATTTATTAATCAATAGACTTGGCAGAGCTGCAAATCTAAAAAGTCTCCCTGTCCCCATGGAGACCCCGTTGTTCCTTTTTAGTTGCCTCTGCTGACACCAAGGTCCACACTAACACGACATGTTTGATGAAGAAATTAAAATTTAGAGGTCACAGATATGAGCACAGCCGGAATTCCACTTAATGAAGAACAATTTAATAAAGTATAAATGACCATAATATAGTCATTATCATTTGCTTATAAATAACATGAAGAAATTGGGCTAAATTAATTTTTAAAGAATATTTCAGCTCCTCAATTCAAATTCTATAGTTTTCCAAAATATATCATCACATGCGAAAAAGAAAATAAAGTCAAAAATTTAATTTAAAAATTAAATTTAGATCTTAGATTAAATTAAATTTAGTTAGAAGGACTATAATCAATACATTATACACCTCAGGCCAATTTCCCTTGGTAGGTAAAATAAAGAGAAACACAAATCAATGCAAATGAGCATTATTTTGGTTTAAACAGCAATCCACTCTTAAACCGCTCCAATTTCAACATAAGTTACTAATTACAAAAAACGAAAGCCATTCCTTCCTTCGGGCAGGTCAGTTTTCCCAAATATTTCAGAGTTCACCTGGTGTACTTGTGAAAACAATAAAAAAAAAATAACTAGGAGATATTCTATATTTAAATTACACAAATATTTATTCAAGAATTTAGATCAGTATATTTTATAGATTCTGATATATGTAGTTTTACGGATTGTAAACACATCTATCTTTTATATATGTATACCATACTCGTAAATACTTGTCCTACACACAAATATATGCAAATGCAGCTGAAAAAGTTTAAAATCTTATTCATTCAAATTATCTAAAATCACTTGGCAGATGAGAAAGCAAGGATAGTGGTTTGATTATTAATAACTGTAAGATACATGTTCTGCAGGTACCGAGAAAACAATAGCTCTGGACTCACGAAGCAGACACAGCCCTGACCAGGTGGCTCAGTTTGCTATACAGCACCATCCCAATACACCAAGGTTTGGGTTCAATCCCCAGTCAGGGCACACACGAGAAGCAATTAATGAATGCAAACATAAGTGGAGTAACAAACCGATGTCTGTCTCTATCTGTGTGTATGTGTCTCTTTCTCCCCTTCTTCTCTCTGAAATCAATTTAAAAAATTTTAAGCATATCCACATGGCCTTCATGGAGAAGAAATGATCTGACTGTGACAGGCTTCCGTGGCACTCTGCACTTCCCTTTCTATGTCAGCTGGGTCGTCCCCTCTCACCATCCCCTGTGTTTCTCAGGGGAAAGGACCACGTGAGAAATCCCTGCAACAAAGCGCAGTGCCTGGCATTTCGGAGGGACCCGGTAAATTTTTTCCACAAGCAGAAAAGCTTTTAGATCTACTGTTCTGTTGACTTGGCTAATTTTGAATGCATGTTTGAAGCTACATATTTTCAGGATAAAACACCTCCCATAAGTAATATGTTCTATAATTATTCGACTCATGTTATGCAATGTTATTTCCTTTCTGTTGTTTTGTACCTTCAGGTTTCAGAAGAAAACTCAGTTCTGATTTCCATTTGTAAGAACTGGTCAATAAAGTGAACACTTTGTAGACTCTGATCATATACCCCCCAGCCTACAAAGACCACACTTTTTAAATATCCAGGTAGAATAACCACCAGCTCACCTCCCTCTTTCTGCAGGACCATGTCTTTTCTGAGATGCGACTGCAAACCCCACATGGGATTTCAGACTAGAAATGTCAGGGGGTAATGACAAGAAAACTGTATTCAGTGAAACCTCGATTATCTGCAGTCCTCAAGGAATAAGTCCTCCGAGACGGCTGAACTTTTGTTACAGTGAACACTTCCAGGGCCACACTTTTTACTCTAATTCTTAAAGACCATGTTTATAAATTGTATTACGGTAGAATGTCCTGAAGACTTAAGCAATTCTCAGTGACTTGAAGGTACCAATTTGAACACTGCTTACAGTAAGGAGTGACCTCTGCCAAGCCTCATATCTGATTGCAGAACTACACGGGTGTGTCGGGTTGTGTTCGGCATGGTACTGTGATACCATCAGGGACGCACGGTTCCCCCGTAGCACACAAACATACCCTGTATCTCTTACACCTTCATGGACTCCTCCGAGGAAAGCTGCGTTTTTCCCACCCAAATTCCTACCTTCTTCCACCATGTCATGAGCTAGCTCCTCTACTCTGAAGAGGCTCATTCTCTTTAGACGGAGAACACTGAGCAGTCCCTCTAGCTTTTATATTACTTGGCTCACTAGTGCTCAGAGGTTCTTTCTGGAGGTCCTCTTCTTCCCTGTTAGTGATAAAAATCAGCATGCTTTTATCCGAATCAGTGTTACTGAAAGGCACCAGGTTCCAACAACTCTGAAAGTTCCACAAAATAATCCTAACTAAATTCCAAGGTCTATCTTAAATTGTTTATCTTCCTTCGCATCCACTGCCCCTTTGACTAGCACCCAGCACAACACAGTGCTCAGAACATCAAAATGTGACTGACCAGACTACACCGAGCCATAAGGAAAAAAGTCCCCCTTTCTCCTAGCACAGAAAAACAAGGCAGCACCGAGTATTACAATCATAATGAGCCTCACTCCAGATACCGCAGAATCTCCTAATAAGCAAGAGGTAGTCTAAATAAAATGAGGTTACTAAAGATTCAATGACTTCACTTGATCTCTTCAGAAAAACTCTTGGAAACAATGGCCTAGGATTTCCTTCGAGCTTTTTCAAATCAGTATTTGTAAATCATGTTTCTGTTTCCAAGGAAACTAAGTAGGTTATACCTACAGCAAGAAAACTCTACCGATGTCATTTTCCTTTTATTCTTGCTTACACACATGGTTCCTGCTTATGAGAAGGGGAGACAATTCCCTTCCATATCACGGACATCACCATGAAATGAGAAGGGGCTGGAACGTCACGGCCTCAGCCTGTGGCTCCTCCTGGGAAGACTAGAATAAAAGCCTGCCCAGAGAGCTCCGAAAAGCTGGAACGTAATTCATGGCCTAGTTCAGTAAGTAACCCTCACATTCTGTGCAGCATTTAGCTGAATTCATTGCATGAAAGTTGAAACAAAAAGAGTTAAAAATCTGGACTTACTAGAAACATCAGGTCAGGCATTTCTGGGTTCAAATTCCAAATCTCTTTCCTTGGCTGAGTTATTTCACTTCTGTTTCTAACTCTTAAAAAAAAAGAAAAGAAAAATACCTAGCTTACACTGTGCTGATATGAATTCAGTTAAAAATGAATATAAAATACCAAGGTCAGAACAATTTTGTCTCTGAAAGTCTCCAAGAGTCATGTTCAAAGATGGCAAAACTGGTAGTTATTCAAGAATTTTACATGACGTGTGAAATAAGGATTTTTTTGCTACACTCTCATCTTAGAGAGTTTGCATGGAATCATGGCATTTTCAGAAAGTACAGGAGAGTATCCTTTCTCCAAACATCTGCAAATAAACTTTTAACCCTGAGAACGTGGACCCATCTTTGCCGGGTCCGCAAATACCAAAGCCTGCTCTGATTTTTTCTTCACTCAACAACCCTGATCTCCTTTAATAAAATAGGAAAACTGAGGCACAAATCACAGCATGGATGAGTTCTAAGCATAATGATAGAGTCTGTTTAAACAGCTTCAAATTCCTAAACACCATGATTAAATCTCAGGAACCTGTAAGGCATCAAAACCGTGATCCAAAGGTACAAATGTTGCAGCTGCTGCTAGATTTGCTGTGTGACAAGACTCAGACACTACCTCTCTGCATTTTGAACACATTTTAAAGTTTTAAGTATTTTCACCAACATTTAACCACACAGTAGACTTTACAATATAAATATGTTATACATATATTCATGTGCTTTTATGATTTAAATGTGTGCAATTGCAAAGCAACTTTTATCTAAAGCAGTAACTCACTGTCTTCCCACACTACAGGCCCCAGCTCCACAAACTGCTCCTACAAACACTTTAAAAAATATTCCTTTTGAATGATAGGTGCATCTATTGGCCCAACATGCAAATACTCAGAATTCAATTTTCTATTCTCTTCACTTTATAATACATATAAATCCAAAAAAGGGAAGAAACTAAGAAATGTAATCAACCAACCTGCTAAACTAATTTGACAGGCCACAGTCAGCCTATAGTACCAAATGGTATTTAGACGCCATTGCTCTAAAGTTCCCTCTGTTCCATTCACCTCTTCATAAAATCCCAGGAATCCTGGTCCGGGGAATTCAGCCACCATACTAAAGGCAACTCATATTTTCAGTTTATCATACAAGGCTAATGCTGGATTCACTGCTCAAAATCTTGAAATTACACACTGATAAAAGGACACTGAGCCCATGTTAATTAAGTGCTTAAAAATGGTCCAGGTAAATGCTAACCATCAGTATTTGCTTATTCCATGACGAAATCTTGGTGTTATAAAACTATTTTTATTATTATTATTATTATTATTACCACTACCACTATCACCAAATCCAGAAGCACTAGGGTCTTAGGTATAACTTTTGACTCAGAGCCCTGAGAGATAAACCCCTATCTTTGCCTCTGATAGTATTGCACTCAAGCTTTGCAACCTAGTGCAAGTCACTGTACATTTATCTACAGAACACAGATGATTTCTAGAGCTCCTTCAAGTTCCCAGGGTTCTTTAGGCCTAATGCCTCAGAGATCCTATCTACTGAATAATGAACAGCTGTCTCAAACCTCGCACATGGCTGTGGGTTTTGCCACAAGACTGAATGTATACTCCCCAGATGTTAGTCAACGCCACGGCAAAGCACCACTGTAGTGGTAACCAAGCACCAGAGGCCTTGGTAACCTTTTTTTTTAAATAAATTTTTGTGCAAAGAGTCTTCATCACAGACTTAACATTTTTTTGAAAACAGTTTGCTAGTCACTTATGTAGCACTAAACTACAATTAGGCAATTATATTAAAAAATTCAAAGGTACTGTATTTAAGAAAACAAGTAAACAAGTCCACATGGAAAAACCATATTTCAAAAACCCCAAAGTGGCATATGTTCTGGCATATGGCCTGGTTTTATAACATTAACGTGTGTTTGCCTTCTGAAGGTTAGGAAGGGCTATTTTTATGACTAGTGTTTTACTACTCAACTTAGATTGCTAATACCATTATATAAATGGTTTTAAAGAAATCTTTTTGTCCTGTATCAATCCCCATAAGTATTTAAGCCCCTCACAGTGTAAATCTTACTTTGCTCAGAAACGTAAGCTAGAACCCTCCGATCAAGAGAGAAAGACTACATGAGACCATCAAATCAAAGCGCTGGTCTTACATCAGATGCTGTGACTCTCAGCGTGTAACCACCTTTAGCACGGCCGCGTATGTTTTCCCACACCACAAATACCAATTAATTCATTTAGTGGATCTTGCAAAACAAAGCAGATACTCAGTGCAGGGCACTAGGGAAGCACTTCCAATGGACATCTGTAACATTCTTGCCCTTTTGTAAAATTCCTCACTTGTCATGCGGCCGTTTGGGCCCCTCGTCCCATGGCTGCACATGGGTGAAGACTGTCCGCCTTCTTCACCCCAGGACACCAAGTCCTGAGGGGAAAGAGGGCGCACACAATCAGGGCGAAATGCGAACAACAGTGCTACTCATGCAACATGCTCTAAATTTAAAATTACTCCTAAATAAATAATGTTTTTAATGATCATTTTTTAAATTTTATTAAAAAATTCTAGAACACTGTACAATTTCATTCTGGCTGTAGAAAAAAATTTCACTTCAACTTTTTTAGGATTACTAATAGAAATATCCTTTCATTAATAGGCTATCCTTTCATAGCTGGTCACGGGAGGCTCTTTTTTTTTTTCATAGTGTCAAGTTAAAACAATGATTTGATTTAAAAACATTGTGATTTCAAAGACGGCAGTCTAGGTGCTAAGAGACACCGTCAACAGTGCCACAGAAGATGCCTGCTCAGAGGTCCCACATCTTCTACATCTGTGTGACTACAGGGCAGAGGGGGCGGGTGGAAGTGGAAGAGGACAGAAGGGGAATACATGGCAATGGAAAAAAGGACCATAAAAATCCACTGTTTTTAAAAAGAAGACTCTCCCTGTAAATTAGCACTGCAGGGATATGCCAGCTAAGCCTGGTCACTGACAAGCAGTCAGTCTCCTCCATTGTTTAAGGATACCCCATGGAGAATTTTAAAGAACAAAGTCCACATATTCAATTAGAGGCATTTGGCTAATTTAGAATGCTTTACTTTTATCTGACTTCACAAGTATTTTTGAGAAAAAAAAACAATTAAAATTAAGAAAATGTTAACTTTTCCTTGGAATGATCTGAAACAAAAGACAACTTCAAAATCACTATGAATATGTATGAGTGAGCCATAATTCACTTCAGCCTAATTTCAAAAGCCTTCATCTATTATGATGCTATCAAATAAAGTACAGTGATTACACAAATAACTGAGCATCCCAACATGAGACCTATTCAATACTTGATCATAGCATCACAGTTTACAGCAGGATTTAGAGACAAATGATTCAAGTTTTGGTGGAAGTGGATGGAGTTAGCTAAGATGTGACACCGGCACAGATCCTGAGAAATGAAGTTCGTATGAGAAAGATGAGAACAATTTTTTCCCACTGGACTAATTACCTATTCAAACCTGGGCACTAAAATGTATTTTATCCTGTTATTAAAATACACACACACACTATACAAAAGTAAAGAAGCATATACAGGTAACAAAATTTCCCAGAGGAGGAGTTTTCTGGGCTGTGAGTCTTCTTAGTCGCACACACTGTACTTTACTTGAATGATTTGTACATTTTGTTTCTAGACAGTTCTGAGCACTGCATCATTATTCCTCCGTGGGCGGGCAGAGATATTCAGTGAGTGATCAAACTCATCTATGTTATCCGGCGTGTGTTCAACCACAACGTTACAGCCTGGCACTGCCGCGCAGTCACATACACTGAGACCCATAAAGATGATATGGTACCGACATGTCGTGACTGGTGTCTCCTCTGAATCGTTACAAACTACATACTACTCAATCACATATGGTTTCAGCCAATCTACATGCCGGAAGTTTTGAATGCCCAGGACCCTTCTTTCTTAATCAAGGCACATTTGATTTTCACTCTATTTGTCTCCAGCTCCCCCTACATTTTGCTCAACCTCTTTCTTTCTGTTCCTGGCACCACCGTGTCAAGGGCTGGAAATATAATATAGCTAGCACCCAGTTTCAGACGTCTATCATTTTCTGTCAAGAAACCATTTTCCTAGTTTAGTATATACGTTCATGAACATATATAGTTTTACTAACTAAATCCATCAACTTCTAAATTCATTACATTTTTTCTAGGAAGCAACAGACGACCAATGGTGGCTGTGAGATAAAATACGGAGTAGTGGGGCTCTCGTACTTTAAACTGTTTAGTAAACATCCCTGAAGTAGGTTCGTTTGCAACTTTCTGCCCTGTGCAGAGTCCACAGGAGCATCGGGGCCCTTTCCTTTGTACACTTTACCCACTTTTGTTAATTTAATTAATTTCTGAAATTATCTGTTGGGCATTTGTCTTTTCTTTCGGACAGTAAGCGGCACAGTTCACAGCGGGTTGAGTCACCATTAAACTGAGTACACCCTCCAGGCCCACGAACAGTGGGGGCCACTGACTGTTCTCATGTCGGTAAGAGATCTGTTCTTCCACTAAATAAACACAACGTTTATTGGATGGCAGTGTCCATAAACCTCTAAAAGCAAGTTGGAGACACAATTACACATCTCAGATGAGCTATTTAAGACAGGTCAGGAGATGGACTGTCGAACAGGGACCTACTGAGCCATTTCAGAATTCTGAAAATACAAGTGTTTTCTAGAAATACAATTATATGGGTTTTGTAATCCCCAAAACAGAATTGGGTTTTGTCCCTACTTCTAACTTTATTGTACACTATTTGTTTAAATTTTAAAAAATACCAATATGATTAATAAAGTGAAGCACAGGAAACAAAGCTAAGAACAATAAAATCATGCCACTATCATACTTGAATCGGTCTAATTAGAAGCATCATAGAATACACAGTGGAATAATTTGATATCACTGTAGGTTTATGCATAACACAAAAAGTTTACTGAGAAGATGAGGCAGGGGAAGGAAAGGTAGAGAAAGGAGGGGAAGG